TATATACAGTATGTATTTCATTGCGGGAACTGAAATATCTTAAATGTCTGCTATATTCACTTGAGTGATGGTAAACAATACTATAATTACATTTTTACAAATCTAAAACAAACACTAAATAATAGAGTAAAACAAACAAAGTCCATTTTAGTCTGAGGCCCTATTGACCACGGACTAAAACAGATCATATATATATATATATATATATATATATATATATATTAGGTCAATGTGTGTATCATGTTTTTATATATATATATATATATATATATATATATATATATATATATATATATATATATATATATATATATATATATATATATATATATATATATATATATATATATATATATTAGGTCAATGTGTGTATCATGTTTTTCGCATCTTTTGGATTCTGGTGGTCACATTTTGTGAACAACTCATCCAGACAAAAAAATGTTCATTAATTATTCAGCATCTTGGGCCTTGTTTTTTCAGAGGGCCATAAAATATTGAATATAGCTGAGTGATGACTCTCGTTTGCCTGGTTAGGGATCATCTTATATCTTGTGTCGTTGCAATTAGAATGTAAGCTGTGGAGAAAGATAATCTCTGTGACCTTCAGATGCGAAAACAGCATGTAGATGTTTTTCAGTTCCACCAGAGATGGTTTATGTATCAACATTTGAATGCAGCTATATCAGATAACATAAACAGCTTTAAGCAACCTGCTGTTTGTACGACATCTTTGTACATTAACATTGGAAGGCCTTAAGGTCCTGCCTTTCTTCTTAAAGGCTGTATTTCTGCCTCTTATTTTCAGCAAATCCTGACATCTAGTGGAGAAATGGTGAGGAGATTGCATCATAAAGCTTTCTATAAAGTTGATATTGGGACAAGAATTCTGTTAATCTAAGGAAATATATAATTTTTATGTGCACATCTTTTGGGATTTTGATCATTTCCAAATGAACCCCATCCCGTCCGCACACCGAAAATAAAACAAATCAATAAATACAAATCAATGATGAGTACATCTTCTAATATATCTTCAGTATTATGCTGCTGGGAAGTTCCTTGTCAACATTTCTCGAAAAGTGTTGCTACAAAAAATAGTTCCAACACTGATGTTCTCCCCCAGTTATGACAATTTATTTATACATCTCAAAGTTTGATACAAAAAGATCTTAATTTAAGCAAAGTGTCTCATGTAAGAATTTGGAAATGTTGCCAAGCATCTTGTTAATGTTAAAACAATGTACAATTGGGATAAGAGAACTATCTGTTTTCAATGACATTTATTTCAAATGGCATGCCAAACACTATGTATACTCTTCTCCATATTTAACATATAATTACTAATATTACATCCACCAAAATCCTATTATAATTCCTGACCAGCATCTTGCATGTTGTTGCGTCTGATGTGTTTGAGTTTCAAGGCAAAGTTAGAGGAGGGTCTATGAAATTCTCTCTTCAAAATTTTGCATGTCATGATCTACACGGAAACACAAAAAAAAAACAAAAAACATCAATCACATGTGGCAATACTTTTGCATACATACCGTAAATTCTCTAATATAGGCCCGGGCCTTTATTTCACTCAAGTGCATCGCGGTCCAGGCCTTTATTGGATACAGGCCAGAATTAGAGACAGGCCTCTATTGCTATTTGAGCAAAACAGACTACCAGTGGAATGAATAAAAATGAGATTTTGTGTCTTTTTGAACCTATAAAACACTAGGTTCATTTATTGAAAAAGTACAGTTACCATGTCTCGCTTGGTTTGAAGTAAAAAAAAAAAAAAAAAAAAAATCCTCCAATTCTGTTTAATTCTCCTCCTCAGTTTTTCTCCTCCTCTTCATCTCTCCCTTTAATCTCCTCATCACTCGCGCTCCTCCTGTTCTGCTGCGTGTCTGTTCTCTTCCTCGCGCAGACGGGCAGCAGTCAGGGCCTGTCACCAGCTGCGCAGGGCTGTGGTACTTGTATGTTACTACCACAAGTATAATGTTGAGGTATGCCCAGAAAAAACGTTTATAGCCCCGGCCTGTATTAGAGACCGGCCATTATTTACCTCCTCTGACAGCGAGACCGGCCATTATTAGAGACCCGGCCGCTATTGGAATACAGGCCAATATTAGAGAATTTACGGTATATATATTACAAATGGAAACCCCTGTTTGGACTTAACTGTCCCTTATAAAGGAGATCTTTACTGAAAAAAACAGATGAGAAAGAAAACATTCAGATGTGTCAGATATGTCTGAAGATTTTTTTTCTGGGATTTTTTTGTTTTTTGTTTATGTCAGTACTGAAATTAAAATATTTGCTCTTAACGACTTCCTTTGAAAACTATGATTTGAAAAGAAAATATTTTGTCGGTTTAAAACAAAAGCTTTGTTTTTAATGTTCATTTTATTTCATCACAGACAGTGAAAATTGTAGGCCTATATTTTGTCCCCTGGAAAATTGGATGTTTCATCTCAAGGTGCTATCCAATAATAATAATAATAATGAAAACAATAAAATATATATAAATAAATAAATAAATAAATACAATGCATTAAAGTTTTAGGATTGAGTTTCAGAATCTGTCACCAAAAATCTTCATACAACTTTTCCTCGGTTCTTCTTTGCTCTCATTTTATTACCTTTTTGGTACAGTTACACAAAAAGGGAAAAAATGTTTTTTCTTATAAATACATTTCAACCAAAAGGATATAAACATGTCATAATATTTTCCACATGTCACTTGCGGGGCAGTCACCTTATCTTGTTCTAAATGAAGCAATAAAGAAGAAGTTCCACTTTAAAACCATTAAAAGCTGTAATTTGTTCAGATTCAATCTTTACATTATTGAGTAAAAATAACCAATCAGATAGAAGGATGGACATTCTATTAGAAATATTTCATACATTATTCAGAATACAAAATATGGGTTTGATAGTTATGTTTGTGTGGGTTCCAGCACATATTGGAGCACAGGGAAACAAGAGGGCAGATAAAATGGCAAAGAGGACAATTCAAAATGCCCTTAGTTTTACAGTTAAAACAAATAAATCTGAGGGAAATAGTATTATTATAGAAAAAAACTGATAAAAACTAAAAAATGGCAAAAAAGTGGGATGAAGAAAAAACAGGAAGAAAGTAGGAAAAAGAAGAAATGCAAGACAAAATAAAAAGGAGAAGAGAATTATAACAAGGTTAAGGACTTATTTAATAACTTTTTAAAATTTAAAAGCATACTACTGGCAAATGTTATTATTGTGGAAATTATAAAAACAATAGAAAATGTTACACTAGAATGTCACGAATATGAAAGAGAAAGAAGATAAATGAGGAGAGAGTTTGAATATATTAAGGAAAAGATTAATTCGTTAGATATTTTAGACAAACAGAGAGTTATTAAATTAAAAAAAATTATTTAATAGAAGTTGATTATACAATGTTTGTATATTAATGTATGTATGATATAGATGGGTAGAATACAAAGTTATGTATAAATATATATATAAAAAAGCTATATATATATATATATATATATATATATATATATATATATATATATATATATATATATATATATATATATATATATATATATATATATATATATATATATATATATATATATATATATATATAGCTTTTTTTTTTTTTTTTTATATATATATATACACTATATTGCCAAAAGTATTTGCTCACCCATCCAAATTATTGGAATCAGGTGTTCCAATCACTTCCATGGCCACAGGTGTATAAATTCAAGCACCTAGGTATGCAGACTGTTTTTACAAACATTTGTGAAAGAATGGGTCGCTCTCAGGAGCTCAGTGAATTCCAGCGTGGAACTGTGATAGGATGCCACCTGTGCAACAAATCCAGTCGTGAAATTTCCTCGCTCCTAAATATTCCACAGTCAACTGTCAGCTGTATTATAAGAAAATGGAAGTGTTTGGGAACGACAGCAACTCAGCCACGAAGTGGTAGGCCACGTAAACTGACGGAGCAGGGTCAGCAGATGCTGACCCGCATAGTGCGAAGAGGTCGCCAACTTTCTGCAGAGTCAATCACTACAGACCTCCAAACTTCATGTGGCCTTCAGATTAGCTCAAGAACAGTGCGCAGAGAGCTTCATGGAATGGGTTTCCATGGTCGAGCAGCTGCATCCAAGCCATACATCACCAAGTGCAATGCAAAGCGTCGGATGCGGTGGTGTAAAGCACGCCGCCACTGGACTCTAGAGCAGTGGAGACGCGTTCTCTGGAGTGACGAATCGCGCTTCTCCATCTGGCAATCTGATGGACGGGTCTGGGTTTGGCGGTTGCCAGGAGAACGGTACTTGTCTGACTGCATTGTGCCAAGTGTAAAGTTTGGTGGAGGGGGGATTATGGTGTGGGGTTGTTTTTCAGGAGCTGGGCTTGGCCCCTTAGTTCCAGTGAAAGGAACTCTGAATGCTTCAGCATACCAAGACATTTTGGACAATTCCATGCTCCCAACTTTGTGGGAACAGTTTGGAGCTGGCCCCTTCCTCTTCCAACATGACTGTGCACCAGTGCACAAAGCAAGGTCCATAAAGACATGGATGACAGAGTCTGGTGTGGATGAACTTGACTGGCCTGCACAGAGTCCTGACCTCAACCCGATAGAACACCTTTGGGATGAATTAGAGCGGAGACTGAGAGCCAGGCCTTCTCGTCCAACATCAGTGTGCGACCTCACAAATGCGCTTCTGGAAGAATGGTCAAAAATTCCCATAAACACACTCCTAAACCTTGTGGACAGCCTTCCCAGAAGAGTTGAAGCTGTTCTAGCTGCAAAGGGTGGACCGATGTCATATTGAACCCTATGGATTAGGAACGGGATGTCACTTAAGCTCATATGTGAGTCAAGGCAGGTGAGCAAATACTTTTGGCAATATAGTGTATTTATGTATATGTTTATCAGTCGATATACCATCACGAACCACAATTATACCAGTAGGTGGTGGTAATGCTATCAAAAGTTCGTTGCCAACCGCCAATAAATCCAAGAAGAAAAAGAAGAACTTCCGCTTTCCCGCTGAGACGGGAAATAAACAAAACAAGCTGCAAGGAGGGAAGGAAGAACAGAGAAGTAAGAGCTGCTGAGGATTTTAGTGAAAAAAAGCAAACAAACTCCTTCATTTTGTTTCTTACTTCCAACAGTAGTGTATTCATAACAAGACAATAAAAATCAATAAAAATATCAGACTTTTTTGTTTTTTAAGAGAAAGTGCTTATATATCGCTAATTCAGCGATGAATGTGAAAGTGTTAGCTTTCGTAACTAATGTGCTTTCGGGAAAACTAAACTACTAAGGTTTGAAACAACGACCAAGCTGATCCCTGCTACTGGGAAACACATTAAGTAGCTCGGACGTTGAAGGTTATCGTTCAAATAAACGTACAGTTTTTGGTTGTTTGTTTGTTTCAGCTGTAGCTGGGGACTGATTCTTATCATGATGACAGCGAAGAGGCTGGAGAGCTTTGAGGTGGTCTGTGAGTGGGCTTCCTGCAGCTTCAAGGGCCACAGCATGGAGGAACTCAGCGACCACATGGCTCTGCATCTGAGGGATTACCTGGGAGACAAGGATGCCCTGGAGGAGCTGGGTGGGTTGGAAGGATTTCAGCAGCATTTCAGGTTATAGTTGGAAAGGAGCCTTTGGGCTTCTGGTGGGAAAAGTGCATCTAAAAGTATTAGAATGCAATAAAAAATATATAGATTTTAGTATTTGAATCAACTGAAATTCCTACTTATATAGAGTAATTAAAACAGAAGAAAGAATTTTCTAAAATCAAAATAATATTAAAATGAAGATTTTTGACTGTAGTTAACAAAAATGTAACATTTTCCTCTCCAGGTTTTCATATTGTAGAGAATATTCTGATTTGCTGAGTATATATATGCCTATGTTTATGCCTCTCCTGTCCAGATTAATGTTTCGGTTTTCAAACCACTTAACTTTGAGCTGTCAAATGGAAAAAGTGTAAAAGTTACCATAATGATGTTACTATGTTATACACCACAGATAGATCTGAGTTTCCAGCAATAACCTTTGTGATTTCAGCCGTTGTGTTCATAGTTCCTTCTTGTAACTTACATGAACAGGAGTAACATTAGCTTGACTTGTCACATATACTGTGTTCTAAGTAGAGGGAGAGATATATTAGCTGAGTACTTTTTTGTGCATATTTTAGAAAAAGTATTCAAGCATGGTTTTCATAATATATTTAGGTGAAATTGAGTCTAATGCTTGTGGCATTTTATCAGCATTCCTGAACTTAAAATAGATGAATAAAAGAAAGTTTGACTAGACTGTAATATAGTAACACATTAAGTACTAAAATACATATTTATGTATATTTATTTCTCGTGCTATTCATCAGAAATGTATGATCAATAATAAGGCTGAAACAATTAATCAGATTAATAGTGATTAATTGATTATTGAAAAAATCAAACTAATTTAGTAATCTATTAATCGTTAACTGGAGTTTAGAGACTAAAACGTGTCTTTAGATGACAAAGCAACCCACCTTGAGCAGCAATTGTAATAAAAAAAATAAATATGTAAACATTTTGCATTTAAGATTAAAAAGATGTCTTCTCTCAGTATGCTCTATTCAGAAGTCCTCAAGTGGAAAAGTTTTACTTTCACCTGGTTTAATTTTGCAAAAAGTCTTCTTTAAAGAACCTTTTGTTATCCAAGTATTAATCGATTAATCAAAAAAACAATCGACAGATTAACCAATTTGCAAAATAATCGTTAGTTACAGCCCTACTCGGTAATATGACACAATGTCATATATTAAGATCATAATAATAATAATCCTTTGCAGGGGTTATAGTGATACTCTGTTTCTGATGGAGAGCCTCTCTTTTGTCTCAGATGAGTTTGCCTGTCTGTGGAATGGATGTGACTTCCTTTCCATGGGCAGCCCTACAGAGTTGGAGGTTCATGCACATTTCCACAACTACCACGGTAAACTCAGGTTCATTGGGTCCCAGCTGCTGAAGACTCGCCCCGACCTCCCCAGCTGCAACCAGGGCATGCACAGCCTTAATCTAGTGCCAGAGGGCTCGGATGGATACATTTGCCAATGGGAGCATTGTGATGTGGGTTTTTTTTTTCTGATTTTAAGTTATTTAAAATTCAAGTTATTGGTTTTGTGGTAGTTACTGTTAATTATAAAAACTGCATGTTTCTATTTCTTTATGCAGAGCACATTTAACAATCCAGAGTGGTTCTACCGCCATGTGGACAATCATGTAGAAAGTGCTGAGCAGCAATCTCTTTCCCAACAGCAGGCTCTCTTCTGCAGCTGGGCAGGTAAGAACAAGCCAAATGGGTTTTCACCGATTGTCAAATTAGCGTTATCACTGCCGCTTGATGATCCTTCGTTCTATCGCAGGTTGTGACGCTTTCTTTAAGATCAGGTACAGGCTGAGGGAGCACATGCGGAGCCACACTCAGGAGCGTCTCGTGGCCTGTCCCACATGTGGCAGCATGTTCTCCAGCAACACTAAGCTGTTCGACCACCTCCAGAGGCAGGCAGAGCCCATAGGTGGGATAGATTATTTGGTTTGTTAGGATTTAAATGTTTTAGGGATTCACTAATATGTTTTTAAATTGTTATTGTATCAGAGTCCCTGGTGTGTGAACATTGTGGCAAAGCTTTTCCCAGTGAGAGACTCTTGAGGGATCACATTCGCCAGCACGGTAAAAACAGCCCTCCATTATTACTGATTAATCGTAATTCTCTGTGATCTGAAAACACTTTTGACGCTCGGCTAGTTTAGCATATTGCAAAGACAGATACTCTCTTTAAAGAATAAATATCTGTCCAAAATGAGTTTGCATGCTGAAAAATGTTCTAACAAAAACATCTTTGCTTTGCTTCCAGTGAACCAGGTGAAATGTCCCTTCTGCGACATGACCTGCACCACTTTAGCAGCTCTGAAGATCCACATCAGGTTCCGCCACTGCGATGAGCGGCCCTTTCCATGTGACTTCTGCGACAAGAGGTAAACGTTCAAAACAGATCGTTACCTACAGCTCTGTAAGAAATAAGTAGAAACACAACTAATGAATCAAATTTATTGGTCAGATTGGTTTTGATCCAACTAAAAATGAAATATAAAATCTTCCATGTTCTTAGTCGGTTTTAAGATGACAGTAGATGAAAGAGGTGAATGGAGCAACATAATTAGCATCTACTGAGCAAATAATAACACATAAACAAACTTAGTTTATTTGTTTGTTGAGATTTCAGATTCTAAAACGACTTGGATTAAAAAAAAAACATGATGTGAAAGATTTGCTCGATGCTATCGGCATCCCTCTGCAGCGCTACATATGAACATCCACTTGGAACTAGATGTTTTGTAAAATGTGTGAAATTCCTTTTTAAGTATTTTAAAGTTCTGGATAGGTATCCAATGAGGAAAAAAAGAGACAGAAAAGTGAGGACTTGTATTTCCAGACATTATTTGCTGTCCTGTCCCAAACGCACATCTACTAGACAATTTAACTAAATGATTTTAACGGATGATTTCCAGCCTTTTTTCTGTTTTTCTAGTTTGAAGAGAGAATATTTGTTATGTGGTAATAAGCTGGAAAGAGACTTAAACTGTTACTTATTGAAGTCTTCCTTTGCACCATTATTTATTATACAGTTCACTTAAGAATATTTTTATTTTAACAGATCATTTTAAAAACCATGTCATGTTTGTTTTAATGCTTGATCAAATAAATAAAATTGTTAACTTTTTTTTTTTTGCAAATGGCAGGTTTAAAAACCAACGAGATCTCCAGAAACACACCGATGTTCACAACGAGGGTACAGTGTTTCACTGCACGGTGGAGGGTTGTGATTATTCCTGTTACACGCTTCAAACTATGAACCACCACTTCAAGAGAGTTCACGAGGTTTGTCTGCTCTGAAGAAGAATTTGCAGACATGCTGGAAAATGACTTTAGACATTAAAGTGAAATGGTTTGGTCCAACAGGCTGGTGGGATGTCCAAGTATAAATGTCACATCTGCGATAAAGTCTTCTCCTGGTGTTACACTCTCACGCTTCACCTCCGTAAGAAGCACGAACTGAAGTGGCCCTCTGGACATTCACGCTTCAGGTGAACGCCATTATTACAACCCATTGCAAAACTATTCACACCCAAAATGTAAGTTTGATTCCGATTAAGAGGAACACATTGGAAAAGTTGAGGGAAAATTCATTCTGTGAAATCTCTAAATAAAATCCATTGCAGCATCCATTTCTCCATCATAATCTAACTTGTTCCAGACCACAGCCTGATGCTGCCAACTCCTTGTTTTATCATGAGAATGTGTGTTTAGGACATTTTCCTATGTTTGTTTCTGCTATTTATAGGGAAAAATGTGAAACTACACATAATGTTTCACTCACATGGTTTTGGTTTTCCCAAAAGAAAAAAAATCACATTGAATTAAATGGAAGGTTTTCATCTGAAGAAGTTCAAATAGTTGAACTGGTGACAGACCCTGCAGAGTAGCTTTAGGTTTAAATATATATGACAATATAACCAAAGGTTGTACAGTAACATTTCAAAATAAATGCAATATAAAAGCCTCAGAAAGGATGTCAAGAATGCCAAAAATCCCCGTTATTAAATACAGTTAAATGGTGGTATATCCTATTGTTATTTGTACACAGATACAGGAAGGATGTAGACGGTTTCCTGAAAGTCAACATGGTGCGCTTTGAGACTGTGGAGGTGACGAAGGAGATCATGAAGAACATGGCCAAAAAGCCACAGAACCTCCGGCAGAGTCAGAGATCCGGCAGCACTAAGAAGAAAGCTGCCGTCACCCCACAGAGCAGCCGGAGCTCGCCGGCAGGTTCTTCCTCACCCTCATCCAACTCCTCTTCCTCCTGCTCTTCAGACCTCTCAGGAGGGGAGGAAGCTTCCTCCCAGCACAGCCCTGTAGGTGGAGACTCTCCCGTCTACTGCATGATGACGACAATTCCTCACATCGAGGACGAAGCCGGAGGACTGTCGCAGGACGGCTGTGACGGCGGCGGGACGTCAGGCGCGGTCCAGGCTCTGACGGAAGTTGCGAGGGGCCTGGGGATGGACGTGGTGTAAATCTCAGAAATGTCCTGCAATGTTTTGCTTTTATTATTGTGTGTCAGCAGAGCCATGTCGGGACCAAAGTTTTAATTCTCAGCAGAAGCTCCCTGCACTCTGTGCTTGTTAACTTAAAGTGATCCTGTAGTTTTAAAATTGCACTGCTAGCGCTAAGCAGCTTTCATTGCGTTTTTTTCTCATCGAAAGATTTAATTTTTTTATATCCTAGTGAAACGTCGTTCAATTTTTATTCTTTTAAATATATTTATAAAAATGTAACCCTTCCTTGAAAATTATTTTATTGTTTGCTCTAGTGTATGGTGAAATATATTCACATATTGGATGAATTTTTCAAGGTGAGATCATTAAATAAAAGTAAAGTAAAATCAGCCCTAATGCCCTAAATATCTGGTTGGAAAGGTTCTTTATTTCATAATCTTGGCTAGAAGTTATATTTTACACTGTGAAAAAGTTTTAAGCAAATCCTTAATCATTTTTGTTAATAAGTAAACACATTTTTCTTAATAAATTAGACAGAAAAAAGACATTGCCTCAAATTTAAGTTATAAATTATTTATAGGCAGATTTTTTAGAAATTTTAAATAATTTCCACTTCCAACACATCTGGATGACTGATTCCAGAACTGTACAGTCAGAATAAAACTTTAAGAATTGGATCAACATGAAGTAGGTGAAAATGAATAAAAGTTGGCACATCATTCCTCATTTATAGACAAGACAAATTAATTGAAATCCAGCAGTTTGGAAATAGTTATAAATCCATTTCCAAATATTTTCTGCCTCATTGAATCCCAGTCTGCTTATATCAGCCGATTACTAAATACATGAAACAATCATGCGTCTGTCAACTAACATTATTAACAATTTCCAAGAGCCCCAAACAACATTTAATGAGCTGCATGCTGCAAATGACCTCAATCAAGGTCATTGTTTATAATTCAATAACAAGTAAAAGACTGGGTAAAAATGTGATCTTACATTTTCTTCATAAAACAAGTAGAGTATTTGTAACAACCTTATCCCCCTCTGAATGGGTTTAAATGTTAGTTGAAGGTTTTGGAATGATCTAGTCAAAGTTCAGATTTAATTATGTGGTATGGCTTTAATTTTATGCTTACAATGTAATTACAAAACCTTCAAATAAGATTAACTGACCTGTTATGGTAAAAAAGTTAACTTAAACTTGAATACATTATAAAATCATATAAACCCGTCATTAAACATACAATATGTGAACTACTGGTTATAATCCTGAACTTAGTAAACATTAAAGGGGCATCTGTACTGAAGATGGATGATATTATGAAGCAAAAAAAGCAAACTGAAAATGTATATTTAATAGAAATTAAAATTTTCATTAAAACCTTTTCAGACAATATTAAAGAGACCCTGTGAAAAGGTAAGAATCCACCATTATTGAATAATAATTGTCCTGGTTTTGAAGGTTTACTGACCTGGAAAAAAAAAGATGTACAAAAAAAGGCTAAACTTTTCAGACAAATACCAAACTTTCTTCCAGCCCAACATCAGGTCTGTGTTTCCATGTTATTTAGAGACATCCACATCTATTAGTACAATGACACACATACGCTTCCAGTGTTCGTTTGCTGCAAGGGATAAATTTAAGCTGCAGTGAATGAAGACAGGCCAAAATGGTTGTCTTTACTTTCCTGCTTTGGCCTCTTCACCTCATCACACCCGCAGGCCTCCAGATGTTTCTTCTGTTTGAATCAGCTGCTTTGCTCTCTGTACCTTTATGCATTATTTCTGGATCCCAGAAAGGTGGGCTCAACTTTAGGTTAGTATGGAAGCTTTTTTTTTCTCTCAAGATCCAGGTTGTCATTAAGAAGCAGCTTAACTGGGCACTTCATATTTGCCCTGCTGATATTGTCCTGCTGAATCTCATGGTTTAGGTGGAAAGCAGGTTTATATGGATGTGGTTCTGGTAGATCTTGTCTGTCGCGGCTGATGTTTCCTTTTATTCTAGTTCTAATTCTTCCACATGCAAAATCTAAGCAATGAGAGAAAAGTACATTTAATAAACAGACTAATTCTAGTTTTATGTATTGCTTGAATAAATCTCACCTAAATACGGGTGTCTGGAGGAGGGCTGAGTTTCTTTAGGTTGCTCTGAGCTGGACAGACTTGTGATAGCAAACCTGGGTAATATCTCTTCAGGAAGACTCTAGTATTTCTGTCACACTGTTGGTCAAATTAGAAGCATGAACAATTTTTTGCTATAAAGTAGTTAGGGAAAATCTTGAAACAGGTACCGTACATCTTTTAAGTCATTGATACCTTGAGGCATTTGTGGTAATATATCCTCCATGCGATGCAGAAGTGTAGCACCCTGCTCCGTCGTATCTGAAAAAAGTGAGAAATTAGGTTAACTGCAATACTAGTTTTATTCAAAACATTCCTCCAAATACTGATCTGATCACATCTTTTTATTTCACTAATCTCCACCTTATTCTTTGTTTTTATTATGGATTTCAAGCAGTTTATTTAGGGCCTTGCCAAAGTGGTGATTATCATAGTAATTTCCATAATGTGCTTTAAAGAAAAATCAAGACAAGACTGTGTTCAGCCATCCTGAGCCTGTTCTTTCTGAAAACTGATGGAGAGGAACTGCAAATGGAAATTTAAAGTTCGGTCTGGACTTTGACTAGGCCACTCTATACCATCAACTTTCCTTGACCCAAATATTTCCCTTCTCGCCTTATGTTTGGGTTTTTGATCTGTTGGGAGATGAACCGTTGTCCCCGTCGTAAGTCAATTAGAGCTTCTAAGCTTGTTTATTATTTCCAGAATTTCCCTTCATTCATCTCCATTTATTTTTCCATCTAGCATACTTAAAAGCTTTTTTTTTATCTCTGCAATTTTTTGAACAATATGTTTATTAATTCTTATGATACAAAAATCAACATACTTTTTAACAATTGTTCCCCACCCCACTCCTCTCACTCCTCTCTCTTCTCCCATATAAGAATCAGTAACAATAATGTATAAGGATTAATCTAAATGTAAAACAAATATTACAAGTCACCCATAAATCCAGTATATATTACTGTACTTCACACATAGGTTAGTCTTTACAACAATACACAGTTAAAACAGGAACAAAAGTATAAATAAAGTTTGAAGACAGTTACACCTCCTGTAATAAATGACTTAAATGGCTTCCATATTTCTTCATATAAATCATTTCTGTTTTTGATAAAATATGTTATTTTTTCCAAGGCTATACACTGTGCCCTGGAGTTAAACCAAACTCCAATAACTGGTAGGTCGTACTTTTTCTAGCTGAGCTATCTTTCTCTCAGATGTAAAATAGCTAAATCTATACATTTACATTGCTGGTGGATAAGTTGAAGTTTTTTTGGGTATAAGTGCAGAAAGATCAGTACACCCTCTTAATGTTCTGCTCTTATTCTCTTATTAAAAGCTTAACAAACTAGTTGGTTAGTTAGTCGGGTAGAGCATGCAGACCTGCAGCTCTGGAGCCAGAAACATTAAAAAAAACACCAAAAATGTTTCTGTTCAACAAAGGAAATATGAAGCCAGCTGATCTGCTTTGTTTATCAGCAGGCTGCGACGTGTTATTTCATGCTCTACTAACTCAGATTTTCTGACAGATTTTGCTACATTTCAAAACCCAAACTGGACTTCTTTACTTAGCATCTCATATTCTCCTCACTTAAAAAACAACAGAAATTTGTTAGTATAGCGACATGAATAAATAGTATTGTGATTTAAATAAAATGTATTATAAAATGTTTTCCCCCTTTTTATTTGTCCTGGAGACTATATATAAAAACAACTCACAGCTAACATGAGAAGTGGGAATATATGGACATTTTTGCACAAAGCTGTCAGAAAATATTAAGTTTTTTAAATCCGCATTAGTCAGTCTGTTAGTGCTTAGTTTAAATATAGATTATTAGAAAGATCATCTGGATTATTTTGGGATTATATGGTAATTTTCCCTCTAAACAGAGCCCTCATGTATTACAAAAACAGATAATGTAACTATTGTATCTATTAACAAGCTGGTCTAATCAAAAGGACAATGAGCTCTACGGTTTGAAATTATTTGCGTAGCCATGGAGGTCCCTACATTGAATACCAATATTGGTCTTTTGTGCTTGAAGTTTGCATGTTCTCCCTGTGTACATAGCGGTGATCTATACATTTTAATATCATTTATTTGTCATTAAATTAGGTCAGTTGTTCTTTTTGAATCACCCTCAGGTTTGGGTGATTCAAAAAGAACAACTGACGGACAGCTGGATGGACAGATGCATGGGCAGAGAGATGGATGGATGGATGGATGGATGGATGGATGGATGGATGGATGGAGGGAGGGGCGGATGGATGGATGGAGGGAGGGGAGGAATGGAGAGATGGAGGGAGGGATGGAGGGATGGATGGATGGATGGAGGGAGGGGAGGAATGGAGAGATGGAGGGAGGGATGGAGGGATGGATGGATGGATGGATGGAGGGAGGGGAGGAATGGAGAGATGGAGGGAGGGAGGAAGGGAGGGGCGGATGGATGGATGGAGGGAGGGAAAAATGGGCAGACGGAAGGATGGACAGAAGGATGCACAGACGGATGGATGAATGTTTGCATGGACGGAAGGAGGGATGGATGGATCGATGGAGGGAGGGAGGGATGGAGAGTTGGATGGATGGATGGATGGATGGAGGGAGGGATGGATGGATGGATGGATGGAGGGAGGAATGGAGAGATGGAGGGAGGGAGGGAGGGAGGGAGGGAGGGAGGGAGGGAGGGAGGGATGGATGGAGGGAGGGAAAAATGGGCAGACGGAAGCATGGACAGAAGGATGGATAGACGGATGGATGAATGGACGAACAGACGGATGGAAGGCAGGAAGGAACCATAACCTAAAACCTTGATGTTATTTTTCTGTGTCGACATATTTTAAAAGTAAAACATTTCCGAAATTAATTATTTTTATCCCACCTCTGAACATTATAAAGAGTGGGATAAAACTACCACACATCTGTGCCAATTTCAACATCTTGAAGTTCATCTAATGAAAATCTTTAATGGTGACACAGAAGATCAAATATTTTCCTTTTCTTAATTTCAATCTTACCTGATTGAGGACGTAAAATAAACCTGGAAGTCCCTCCATTCATTTAATGTTCTGGTGCAGAGAATCCAGCAGCTCTTCCTCTTTCCTTACACCAACATCTCAGCATCACAGACTGTAGATCCTTCTCTGTTTGTTAAAGAAACCACCTGTTCTATTCAGCCCAGCTCTATATTCAGTTCTCTACTAGCGGCCCCGGTCAATTAGTCAGTGTTACTTATCAACACAAGCAAAGATCATTAACAAATCCCAGCAGCTTATTCTAATCTTATCAGTCATCTAAACCTTTCTGGTTGAGTTTAAGGGAAGACAAATTATTGTGGCAGCAAAGGAAGGAAATAAGAATTTAATGAATCCAATGTTTTACAGGTACTAATTTAGCTTTAGATGCTCTTTGTGTAACTTGATTTTACTCTTAAGATTGAATTAATTTAATCTGAAATATTAATGTGAATTGACAGATTGTTTTTTAAATGTTATTAATCTACCATCTAGGTACAAAAAATATTTAACTGGGCTTTCATGAAGCAAGGGTTCGATTATTTATCCAATAATTATCTGAACTTTAATAACAGTCGAAGCCTAATTCTTTTTGTTGTATTTACTCTCATCATGTGGATCATCATCTTAAAATGTTTAATCTACTTCTGTAATATCAATGCATTACCATGTATCCTTTAGATTTAACCAACTTAATAAATAACATATTTTATAGAACAGGTATTACAAACATAATCCTTTATTTAAATACTTTTAACAGCTGTGCAGCTTCAGTGTGTAAATGTAACACTTTGTTTCTTTCTCAAGCAAAAACAGAATCTTGTTTCTGAAAAAGACAAAAATCCATTATAAGTAGTAATTTAAAGAATGAAATAAATATCCCTCTATCTGATTTCCTAAATAGCTGTGTGCTATTACCTATGGCTGCGCAAAAATAATACATGAATCAAAGGACCATGCATTTAAAAAATGAGAGTACAGTTCAAATAAAACATGGTGGCTTTCTTTGTAACAGCAAATTCATTCAGTTAAAAATTAGTAGATTTTTTATATCAGGTTTTCTTTTAAGAACAGCATGTGTCTGAGTCTGAGTCATGTTTAATCTCAACAGGAAGGCAGTAAAAACATATTTAAGAGCATCTCTCTTCTCTAGTTCCCAATGAAAGGAGTCAATGCTTGGTCTTGTTACTAAACTTTTTGTTTCCTGGAATTCTGGGGCCCATCTGAGGGCCGTTTGTCCTGAACGTCCCCTGAAAAAGACACTATGGGCTACCCTTCATCTGGATTCCATTAAGAGGAACACAAGAAGGTGATTGGCTGAAGCTTTGTGATCACATGTTCTCCTTGATTAGCTAATTCTATTCTCTTAAATCCTGTTAGTGTGGGCAGGGTTAAAGCTGCTGCACTGTTTGCGCAGAGTACAGAACTTTACCTGTGATAAGCAACGTCTCCACAGCATGCTGGGGTCATTAGTGAGTCCTCAGTAGCATCAGGTAGAGAGGTAAATCAGCTTCACGCCTCAAACTCTTATGTGTTTAAATCAGTGCATAAAAAAGAACCGATTCCAACATGAAACCATTTTAAAACCTAATGGTGCATTTTTTTTTGTATTTGGAATTATCTACAATATTCCATCCTTTGTTGGAATATTGTAGATCATTTGCCTGTAACAGTTTTAAACAACAATTATTTCTTTATTCCAGAATATCTACTTGTCAGATTTACATTTGGAGCTTTTAATGATTTTCCTGTATTGTTCCAATTCTAGTGAGCAAATATTTTTAAGTAGAAATAGGTAGCCTAGATACATTTTCTTTGTTGTATTTTCTCTAATCTGAAAGTACAAACAGAATGATAGACAGATAATGGTTGAATTAAGTTAAAAGTTATTCTTTTATTCTCCAAATGGATTTCTGGCTGGAAAGTAGACTTCCTTTCTTTGACATTAATCTGATGGAGAATCTAGAGGAAGTTACAGATTAGGGTGATGGTAGGAAAGCCTTTTTTGATTTTAAAACATCAGAGAAAGCATTTCAAAAGCTGGTGAGTTATTAGAAGAGGTATTAATCAAGACATTTCATAATTTTTCAACATCCTATTATTAATAGCACCAATAAATAGATAACATATAAAGATGGATTATTTCTTTACATTTACAGTCCTGTGTGGTGAGTGGTGCCCATCTTATTCTCTGGAAATAAGCAAATGTTTTGATTAAATGAAAACACTTTTCAGTCCAAATG